TTATTATTATTATTATTATTATTATTATTATTAATTTGCTACAGAGCACATGCGCTCACCAAAGAGAGACAAAGAGAGAGAAAGAGAAAGTGAGAAAACAAGTCACCAGGTCTGGGACTCAAACCATGGTCGACTATGTGGAAGTTCAGCACCTTAACCACCGTTCGTCTCACCCTCATGGCCTTACAGGAATTGTCCCTGACCGTCTCATTTGCAAAGCTTTTCCTGTCACCTTCTAAGTGACTTCTATGGTGCCTTCTTCTTGAAGGTTTTAGAGCACATAACCCTCTTGGTAATGAAGACGAAGAACAGGATGAGTGCACTGTGTAGCTCTGAGTTCAGGTGGGTGGGTGTGGTTAGTTCAGTTCTGCCGTACAGGAAAGGTGGGGACACCGCCTTCCAGGTGGTCAAGCTGTGTGTGTGTGTGTGTGTGTGTGTGTGTGTGCTGAAAGCCTTTCTTTTCGATGTCTGGTATGCAGAAGGCAGTCAGTGTGCGCGGCTCAGTGTGTGTACCATATGCAGGCACTCTCAGTCCTGGAGTTGTAGGAGATAACCGCACTTTGCTGAGGGCCACTCGGCTATAAAATGTAAGGTTACATTATGTAAAATAGAAATTGGTCTACATGATTATTTGATTTCAAAGGTAGTAATATTTTATGATAGAGAAAAATATAGTCAATGACCTTTTATGAAAATCAGGAGCCAGCAGACGGCATGGTAGTTGAGACAGCTGGATCCCACATGACCAATTCCATGTTTTGAGTCTTGGACACCATGGCTTGAAAAATACATCAGGGAGGGACCAGCAGTTGTTGCTGGACTCTCATGTAGTTGACCGTAGTTCAAGTCCCGGACCTGGTGGCTTAAAACTCACACCAGGCATATGTGTGTGCATGCCCAAGATCCCAAGAGGAGAATGGAGGAGAAGGGATTGTGGCATGGCCATCCTCCCTGGGGGGTGATTTCTTGCTTTCTGTCTGTCTCTGTCTTTCTGGCAAGCGCATGTTCCCTATAGCAAAAATCTCTCTGAAAAAAACCACACTGGGCATGTGTGCCCCAATTCCCAAGAGGAGAAGAATGGAGGAGAAAGGATTGTGGTGTGGCTATTCTCCCCAGGGAGTGATTTCTCACTTTCTGTCTCTCTCTGTCTTTCTGGAGAGCTTATACACCCTATAGCAAAAATCACTCTCTCTCTAATAAGAAAAAAAAAAAAAAGGTACAGTAAAGATACAGTATAAAAGATAAAACATGGCCCACCTGTGTAGGGTGCTACCACGAATGGAGTTGACAGGCCTGGAAGTGGCTCTGGTGAATCAGTGAGTGGTGAGGGTGACTGTGAAGGCCCAGGATACCACTGTACCCCACTGCTGACTTTCACTGCACACTAACTTTATTTTACAATATTGTTCTTTCTTCAATAATAAGTTGACCTTAGCTACTGTCACTTCTTTATAAACTTTTTGAATTTTTCATAATACGTAACCTAAAACACACTGTCCAGATTCAAAAATCTTTTTTCTTTATATCCTTATCCTATATGCTTTTTTCTACTTAATTTTTTTTGAACTTTTTAAACTAAGACACAAACATAAACACACACATCATCAACATAGGTCTACACAGGGTCAGGATTATCAATACCACTGTATTCTAGGTTCTTATTCCGTCCCATTGGAAGGACCAGGATGGACAAAACAACACGAGATCAAATCAGCACAAGAGAAAATTATGCAACGAAGAGGTGCAGGGAACAGATGTGTGAGGTTGCTGCTGACGGCTCACCGCGTACTGTTTTAGAGTACTATCGTTTTATCGTAAATAGAAGGAGTGTGCTCTAAGCTAAGGGTAAAAAGCACAGTATAGTAAATATATAAACCAGTAACATAGTCATTTATTATCATTATGAAGTATGATGCATTATCCATAATTGCAAGAATAGGGGTGATTGGTCCCTTCTGCTTAGAGGTGGCCCCTTCCATCAGGGTGAGGCTGACACATGGCTGCTGATCTGGGAGCTGAGAAGCCCAGATGCAGGCCTGCCTTGGGGTGAGGGACAGTCAGTCCGTGTGTGACACAGATGGCCTGGGCACTAAGTCCCAGGGGAATGGGATTGCTCTGAGGCAGCCCATGACCTCTGCCTTCCCGTCCCCCGGTTCCTGTTCACAATGAATCCAGTGAGCACGTGAAGCATGCCAACCTACATTTTTTCATGATAGAAATCTTTCGAGCCAGAACTCGTCTGTTGTGTAGTTATCCTCCTTTTTGCTTGGTGATATCGCTAGTGGAAACAGTTTAATTCGACCCTGTTCTGAACCTTGACATCTGGTCCCAGTCATAGAATTTTGTTTCCCTGGGTTCTCCAGCCTGAAGATCCAGGGTCCTGCTTTTACCTCCCTAGGAGCTGGAGTCTCTCCCTGCGTGGCCCCACTTCCTGTTTCCTGTGCTCTCTTCTGCCACCACCTCTGCCCTTTAGTCCAAAGCTCCACGCCTGTCTTCTGTTTGGAGCCCTGACAGCGCGTCCATTCATCTCTGGGACGTCATTTGTCACGTCTGTGAGAGACCCTCGCGTTGCTTCTCTGACTTCCTCCTGGCACTCTTTCTGCCCTTGAACATTTCTGGATCTTTCAGACCTGTCCATCCTTTTCCAGCCCTTCCTGTCACCAACGAAACTACTTCGTAACATACAGGTGCCAGCAGATGTGCATGAACTTGTGCTGCACTTTCACAGTTAAAAGCACAAATGAGAATGAGAATGTTTAGTTTTTAGTTACTCGCTGTGGATTGGGTTAAAGCATGCATCGTCTTCACTTACAGGCTAGAATGATTTGGTAGGTTCCATTTTTTTTTTCTTCTGTCTTATACCCGGTAGGTCATATCCTGACATTGTACCAAGATTTGAGGGAGGCACATCTCACACAATAGTCTGAAAACCGAATCATCACATATGAGCCACAGAAGGCTGTGTGAGAGGCTCTTTTCTGCTCTGAGATCCCAGTTCCACATGACATCACCATACAGCTATGTCAACACTGAGCTTGCCGTCTGGCGCCCGTGTGTGCAGCAGCCAAAGACACGCACTCACTGAGCATGGTCCCATCAGCTCACACAGGGCTCACTTCTGGAAGTCTCGCTCCTGTAGTAGGTTATACATTCCTCATGGTTAAAGACTAGACTTTCTGTATGTTGTGCACTGTACTCAACACACTACTTAGTATAAACATGCATGTAGTAAATGTGAAGGAAAGAAATAGAATGGCAGGAAATTTACAGCACAGAAGATTTTATTTTTCTGTAAGGAGGACCCAGAATATGATGACAGGAATGGAGAAAAATGTAATAGGGACCAGCAGATGGCATAATGGTTATGTGCTGGACTCCCACATAATCCACTACGGTTCAAGTCCTGGACTCGGCGACTTAAAACTCATGCAGAGCACGTGTGTGTGTGTGTGCCCAAAATCCCGAGAGGAGAATGGAGGAGAAGGGATTTGGCATGGTCATCCCCCTTAGGGGGAGGTGATTTCTCACTTTCTGTTGCTCTCTGTCTCTCCAGCAAGAACGTGTGCCCTATAGCAAAAATCTTTCTTTAAAAAAAAAAAAGAAAGAAAAATGTAATAATGCACAGTGAAACCAACAGATTTCCACCAGGCTTTTCCCAGAGCTAAATACCAGGGGACCCCAGAAAATTTGTGAAGTGCAAGTTTATTTTAGTGCAAAGAACTTTGGAAATCCATGCAGTTTTTTCATAATACGTATTTTCCATGAATTTTTTGAAGACACCGTGTATATTGTAAATTCAGACATCAGACAGCAATTTTCTTTTCTTTCTTTCCTTTTTTTTTTGAGAGGTTTTTGCTATTGTTTTTTTTTTTTTTTTGCCAGAGAGGGAAAGTGAGAAAGTGAGAACACCCCCCCCCGGAGAGGATGGCCACACCGCAACCCCTTCTCCTCCATTCTGCTCTCAGGATCTTAGGCACGCACGCACATGCACCCGACCTGAGTTTAATCCGAGTCTGGGACTCGAACCGTGGTTGACTACAAGGGAGTCCAGCGACATAACCTTTACGCTAACTGCTGTTCCCAAAAATCATGTGCGTTGAGAGAGACAGAGAGAGAGAGAGATAGACTAGATGCTGCAATCCTCCAGCCTCCATAGGTGTTGGCCTTACGGCAGGTGCCACCACACCCCAGACATCAATTTTCGAAAGAATCAAAATGGTTTCAATGAGCTATGATCAGCCAGCCATTTGCCAGAATTCCGTTTCTGAGCAGCCCCCTTGTCTAGTTAGGAGCTGAGTTTTGTATCTAGTCTTAGGCTCAGTCTGGAGCGTTCCTTTGAAAGTGGCGAGGTGATGGGGAGGTCGAAGTTGGGTTCACTCCTGTTCTTCCCTTCCGCAAGCCCGGCATGTTGGTTTGTCCAGGCTGTTGGGGTGGGGAGGGCATGTTCTCTTCCTGACAGGCTCGTGGAGAAAGCAACTGTGATATCGTATGTAAACATGCCTGTAAAATGCAAACTTCAAGAATGGCGTCGTGGACGTTTTATTATGACTATTTTTTTGACAGTAAAACTATGGCTATTTGGAGAGTTAAGTGAGTTCAAGCTGAGTGCCGCCCCTCTCCTCAGCTGTCTCAGCTGTTCTTAGGAATTTTGGGGCGGCCTCTCCCTGGGCTCTCAGCTGGCTCAGTGATTCAGGAAACTTCTTTCCCCACCCACCCTCAGAGTGCTCATCTCCTCATTCTTTAACCCTTCCCCGCTAAGTTCTATTTGTGACTAACTCCCAAGTATGTGCCACATGCCCACTCGTTGAATCAGTGACAAACAAAGCAGAGTGTCCATCTCGTTTGGGGATCGTCCTGCCCAAGGCAGGTATTCTTCATGTTTCTACAGATGAGAAATCAAGTCTGGGAGAGGCTGAGCAATCTGCTCAGAGCCGTGCATTTAGATCTTAGCTTTCTGAATAGGAAACAGGACTCTGGGGATGCCAAGGGGTCACGGATAAGGATAAGGACCATGAAAACACTGCATGGATTTCAGAATACTTCACCAGCACAGTGGTAGAACGTGATGCTCTGTAAGGCCGATCCACACGGGCAAGTTTCCAGTTCATATCTGGAGACCTCCCTGAGTACCTTGGCTGCGGGTGATAGCTGTATTCAGACCTCATATGAGGCACCCTACCCTTTATGTTGTCTGTCTTTCTCTGTCATGAAAGAAACTTAATTTAAAAATTGTCTTGCACCAAAATCAATTCATGTTTTCATTCTGTTTTTCCACGAACTTTTCTAAGTCCCTTATATTCCTACTGGCCCAGTGTAACAGAATGCTCTCAGCTGCAATGGATTTTGCTAGAAACTGATTGAACTGGTAGACCCATTCTGTCCAGTGCTCACAACAGAGGTCATTCTGCGAGAGGGTGCTGAGGGCCAGGATGCTTTGTCTGGTGAGGCTTTCTCTGGCCTTGCCCTTCCTTCCAAGGCACCCGTGTAGGCGAAGAGTCTCATGGGCAGATTCTCAGAGCAGCCGGGGATCCCCTAGGCCCTGCCAGAGCCTCTCCTCCCCTGCCCTCTCACCTGGCTTCCGCTCAGTAGAACAGCTGGACAAGTGGCACCTCAAGGGCTCCCTGACTATTTTTATGTGACCATCTGCCATCCAGACCAAGCCTGGCAGGCAGTAACAGGCCAGAGGAATGCCATAGCAGGTGGGTGACGCCAGGACAGCTGAGGGCGCCCAGCCCTGCCTTGGACTGTTGATCTGGGGACGCTGGAAATGTGGCATGAGGACGCCAAGTGGAAGAAGAAAGCCTCCTGCATGTTATCCCCCGGGCAGCGTGTGACCTGGCTTCCTGTCCCACCTATAGAACACGCTGAGGCCTGCATGCTAGGCTGGAGGGGGTACAGGGTGGAATCACGCTGTGCCAGCCTGTCTGGCTGACCTCGCCATCACCCCAAGACAGACAGGGTACAGAGAAAATGCCCTGCAGAGGAAATGCCTCTGAAGACACATTGGCTTGCATTTTGTGATAAGATGCCGCAGCACGTGTGACCCACCTTGGCCCAGCGTGGTATGGCCAGGCAGGCAGTTCCGTCCACAAAGCCCGGCAGTCACTTGCCAGAGCAGTCACCAGAGCTGCGGTTAAAGGAAGGGCTTGTTTCCTTCATAGGTTCCTGGGAAGGAGGAAGCATTTCTTTTTAAAAAATCAATAAATAAAGGGGGCCAGCAGGTGGCGTGGTGGTGAAGGTGTTGGACTCCCACATGCTGACTGCAGTTAGCGTCCCAGACCTGGTGTCTTGAAATCATGCTGGGCAGGTGTGCATGCATGCCCAAGATCCTGAGAGGAGATGGAGAAGGAATTGTGGCATGGCTATCACCCCCCCCGGGGGGGGGATTTCTCACTTTCCCTCTCTCTGTCTCTCTCCTGTGAATGCATATGCCTTTTGGCAAAAATAAAATAAATAAATAAAAATCATATTCACTATAGAAAGTTGTAAACATATACAAAGTAGAGACTGGAATAATGAATTCCCATGTAACCAATCACCCAACTTCATGCAAAAGCTTTTTTTTTTTTTGGGGGGGGGGGAGAGT